TATCCTCTTTAAATTCCTTTTTCAGAATACTGTAGTTTTCAATATAAAGGTCTGTTACTTCCTTCATTAGATTGATTCCTAAGTATTTGATTTTTCTATTATGAAAATTGTGACTTTCCTAATGTACCTCTCTGTGAGTTTATTATTTGTGTACAGAAATGCTATTGATTTTTGAGTGTTGACTTTGTAATCTGCTACATTACTGAATTTGGTTATTAATTCTAAGAGTCTTTTGGTGGAATTTTTTGGGTCTTCTGCATAGAAGACCATGTTATCCACAAATAATGATAATTTAACTACTTCCTTTCTTATTCTTATTCCTTTTGTTTTTCTCATCTAATTGCTTTGGTTGATGTTTCCATAACTGTATTGAATAGGAGTGGTGATAATGGGCATCTTTATTTTGTTTCTGATTTTAGAGTGAAAGCTTTCATTTTTTTTTACCATTTAGTATGATATTGAGTTGGCTTTGTTTTCTTTTGATGATGGCAAAATACAACAGAAGACAGAACAAAGCCATTTAAGACAATGCAGTGAAACTGGTACAGAATTTCAGAGCAGGAGACTGGAATAACAGTAACAGGTACCGTAGTATATCTTCTTATTTTCACTATAAGTTGTCCGTTCCATCAGGTATAGCAAAATCAAACCAAAAACAGAACAATATAAAATGTATCAAAACCAAATACTGAATACAGTAAAACAATTAATCAGAGCAAAGCAAAACAGTGAAAACAATATTTGCCTTTTTCAAAGAGAATGTAGAAGGAAATCCCTCATATTTACTATATTGCATACAGTCATCCTCCCAAGAGATGCTCAGACTTCTGACCTCCAGTTGCTAATTGGAGGGGGGCGGGTAAAGAGGGAGATGAGATGTTTGATTCTCAGCCTGCACGCTGGTAGGCTCACGGGAGATGCTGATTGGTTCTCTTTCTGTTTCACCTGCTGTTCACTCACCATGGCTGCTTACCAGGAAGGAGGGTAAATTGTTGATTTATTATAGATGACCTTTATCAGGTTGAAATAAAGAGCATCTATTCCAATTTTCTGTTTTTTTTTTTTTAAATCATGAATGGGTGTTGGGATTTGTCAAGTACTTGTTCTGCATCTATTTTGCTGATTATGTGGATTTTGCTCTTCATTCTGTTAATGTGGTACATTATATTTATTGATTTGTGTGTGTTGAACCATCTCTGCATCTCTAGAATGAATTCTACTTAGTCATGGTGAATAATCTTCTTGATGATTTACTGCATTCTGTGTGACAGCAAGTTATTGAGGATTTTTGCATCTATGTTAGGGAGATTGGCCTATAGTTCTCTTTTTTGGTTGACTCCTTCTCTGGTTTTGGTATCAATGTATTGGCTGCTTCTACCAATGACTTTGAAGGTACTGCTTCCTTTTCAGTTTCAATAGAGAGTTTGTGGCATAGTGGTATTAGATCTTCTCTAAAGTTCTTGAACAATTCAGCAGTGAATCTGTGAGGACCTGGGCTTTTCTTTGTTGGTAGTTTGTTAATTACTTCTTAAATTTCATTTACTGATATTGGGTTATTTAGAATTTTTATATTATTTTGATTCAGCTTTGGAAATTCATATATAGAGAAATTATTACCATTCCTTCTGGGTTTTGAATCTTATTAGAGTACAAGTTCTCAAGTAGGTATTGATGACCTCTGGATTTCTGCAGGATCCACTGTAGTTTTACCCTTTTCATTCCTGATTGCATGGATCTGAATTTTTCTTTTGCATAATACTGGCTAAGGATTTGTTGATTTTAGTTAATCTTTCAAAGAACCAACTCTTTGATTCATTGGTTCTTTGTATTCTTTTCTTGTCTCAATTGCATTAACTTTTGCTCTGATGTTTATAATTTCTCCCTCAATTATGGTTGGGTATAACTTGCTCTTCTTTTTCTAGAAACTTGAGGTTCAACATTAGGTTATTTACTCGATCTTACTCTGTTCTTTGGATGTGGAAATTCATGGCTATAAATTTCTTTCATTGGATTGCTTTCATTGCATCCCATAAATTTTGGTATGTTGTATTGGCATTAATGCTTGCTTGTATAAACTGTATACTTTAATTTCATCTGGGAGCCAGCAGGATGTTATTTGATTACCACATGTTTATATAGTTTTTGTGGTTTCATTTGCTAGGATTTGCACTATGATCTGATTATATGCATGGGATAATTTAAAATTTTTTGAATTTATTTAAGTATGTTCTATGAGCTAGTATGTGTTCTGTTTTGGATAAAGTCCCATGTGCTGGTAAGAAGAATGTGTATTCTGTTGTCATGGGGTGGAACACTGTGGTTATTTACTATGTTCATTTGTTCAAAAGTTTGGTTCAGCTCTGATATTATTGTTGTTTTTTATGTAATTTATATATTTGACACAGTGGAATATTGTGGCACCCCACCACAATTGTATTACTATTTATCTAAGTTTCATATCGATTAATATTTGTTTTATATAGTTGTGTGTGATGGCAATTTGTGAATGTATATTGTTATCTCTTTCTCTTGGATTGTTCCTTAATAAGAATGTAGTGACTTTCTTTGTCTCTTCAGTCTTGCTTTGAAATTTACTTTATCTTAAGATTGGAGAGCAACACATGTTTTTTTCTTAGGGGGGGGTTCTGTTACATGGAGTATTGTTTTATATCCTTTAACTTTCAGTCAATGCTGAAACTCAAAGGATAGAAAACAATACTTCATGCAACAGGAACCAAAAAAAAAGCAGGGGTAGCTATTCTGTTTGCAGTCAATGTGAACTTCAAACCAAGAATGATCAGAAGAGATAAAGAATATCATTACATACAGGCTAGGGGAAAACTTCAAGAGGAAGAGATAGCAATCTTAAATATATAGGCACCAAATTCCAGAGCACCCAGATATACAAAGCAAGTATTAACAGAAATGAAAAATCAAATAAGCAATAACACAATTATAACAGGAGACCTTAACACACCATTGACACTAAGGGACAGATCAATCAGACAGAAAATCAGCAAAGAAATAACAGAAATGATTCATACCTGTGAACAAATGGACTTGATAGACATACACAGAGTGTTCCATCCAACAATATCAGAATATACATTCTTCTCAGGAGTACATGGGACATTCTCTAAAATAGACCATACACTAGCCCAGAGAATACATTTAAATAAATGCAAAAAAGTTGAAATTATCCCATGCATGTTATCAGATCATAGCACCATGAAACTAGAAATTAATGATAAAAGAAACTGCAAAAATCCAACAAACACATAGATATTGAGTAACACACTCTTGAGCAATCAGGGGGTTAGAAGGGAAATTAAATAAGAAATTAAACAATACCAACAAGTAAACAAAAATACAAATACAATGAAAGCGGTCCTCAGAGGAAAATTTATTGCACTGAGTTCCCACATCAGGAAAACAGAACAAATCCAAATAAACAACCTGATGCTATACCTCAAACATCTAGAAAAAGAAGAACAAGTCAAACCCAAAGCCAAAAGAAGGGAGCAAATTATAAAAATCAGAGCAGAAATTAAAGCAATAAAGACTAAGAAAACAATCTAAAGAATCAATGATCAAAGAGTTGGTTCTTTGAAAGAATAAATAAAATTGATAAGCTCCTAGAAAAACTTATTTCAAAAAAGAAAAGAAAAAACTCAAATTCATGCAATAAGGAGTGAAAAAGGTGAAATCAGTACAGACACTGTGGAAATACAGAAGATCATCATCTTCTACTCTCACAGGTTCGATAACACAGAAGAAATGGACAGATTGCTAGAAACATATGAAGTACCAAAGCTGGGTAAAGAAGATGTAAAACTTCTGAATAACCCAATTTCTATTAATGAAATTGAAAATGAAACTAAGTCCTTACCTACAAACAAGAGACCAGGCCCAGACAGATTTCCTGCAGAATTCTACAAGAAATACAAAGCAGACATAATGTTGACACTCCTCAAACTCTTCAATAAAATTTACAGGGAAGAAATTCTTCCTAAGTCATTCCTGGAAGCAAATCTTATTGTAGTACCAAAACTCGAGGAAAACCCAACTAAAAAAGAGAACTGCAGGCCAATCTCCCTAATGAACACAGATGCAAAATCCTCAATAAAATTGAGGCAAAGAAGATGTAGCCAATCATCAAGAAGATTATAAGCACGACCAAGTGGGGTTCATTCCAGCCATGCAGGGATGGTTCAACATACATAAATCAATAAATGTGGTTCACCATATCAATAAAGCCAAAAGTAAGAATCACATGATCATTTTTATAGATGCAGAAAAAGCTTTTGATAAAGTCCAACACTGATTCATGATAAGAACCTTTCAAAAAACTGGAATAGATAGTCTTTACCTCAATATGATAAAGGCCATCTATGACAAACCAACACCAGCGTCATATTAAATGACCAAAAATTGAAAGGCATTTACCTTAAAATCAGGCACAAGACAAGAATTTCCCTTATCACCGCTCCTATTCAAAATAGGACTGGAGATACTAGCCAGAGCAATTAGACAAGAGAGAGAAATAAAAGGGGTAAAGATAGAAAAAGAGGAAGTTAAATTATCATTATTTGCAGATGACATGATACTCTACATAGAAGACCCCCAAAACTCCATTGAAAGACTCCTATATATAATAAATAAATTGAGCAATGTAGCTGGATAAAAAAATCAATACTCAAAAATCAATAGCATTCCTATACACTAACAACAAAATCACTGAGAGAGAAATAAGAGAAGCCACACCCTTCACACTAGCATCCAAAAACATGAAATACTTAGGAATTAATTTCATGAAAAAAAGTAAAAGATCTATACAAGGAAAATTATAACACCCTGAAAAAGAAATCGAAGACGATCTCAGAAAATGAACAGACATCCCTTGTTTATGGATAGGAAGAATAAATATTTTGACAGTGGCCATTCTCCCAAAACTGTTATACAGATTCAATGCAATTCCAATAAAAATACCATCAACATACCTCATAGATCTTGAGAAATCACTCCCAAAATTCATCTGGAACTAGAAGAGACCTAGAATAGCAAAGGCAGTTCTAAGCGGCAAAGGCAAGACAGGAGGCATCACAATCCCTGACTTGAAGTTATACTATAAAACTACTGTAGTAAAATCAACATGGTACTGGAATAAAAACTGACCTGAAGATCAATGGAATAGCCTAGAAGACACAACCACAAGTACAAACACACTCAATTGTCTTATCTTTGATAAAGGGGCCAAACATATTCACTGGAAGAACAACAGTCTCTTTAATAAACAGTGCTGGAAGAACTGGCTCTCCATGTGCCAAAAACTAAAACTAGACCCATACCTATCACCATGCACTAAACTAAAATCTAAATGTATCAGAGATGTGAATATTAAAACAGGAACAGTAAATCTGTTGGAAGAGAAATGAGGTAAAAATCTTGAAGACATAGGGGTAGGTAGAGAATTCATGAACAGGAATCAAACCACATGGAAATACTTCCCAGAATCAGTAAATGGGATCACATCTTATTAAAAGGTTTCTGCATGTCAAAAGAAATCTCCAGCATAGTGTAAAGGAAACCCACAAACTGGGAAAAAGTCTTAGTGAACTGTCCCTCAAAGGACTTCTGTCTAAAACATACGAAGAATTAAAAAAAAAAAATCAGAGCCCCCAAATTCAAAGATCCAATCCAAAAATGGGCATCTGAGATGAATATACAGTTCTCAGAGAAGAAATACAAATGGCAAATAAATACATGAAAAAATGTTCATCATCATTACTTATTAGAGAAATGCAAATTAAAACAACACAGAGATTAGAATGGCCAGGATCAAGAAAACTACCAACCATAAATGCTGGAGAGGCTGTGGGGAAAAAGGAACTCTCCTGCACTGTTGGTGGAAGTATAGACTGGTGCAACCATTGTGGAAGTCAGTCTGGAGATTTCTCAAAAAGCTGGGATTGGAAGTCCCATTTGATCTAGCTATTCCACTTCTAGGCATATTTCCAGAAGGACTGAAAACAACATACCACAGTGATATGTGTGCACCCATGTTTATAGTAGCACAATTTGTAATAGCCAGATCTTGGAAACAACCTAAGTGTCCATCAACTGAGGAATGGATAAAAATTTGTGGTGTTTTTATACAATGGAGTAATACTCAGCTATAGAGAATGATCACATGGAGATATTTATAAATAAATGGATGTAGCTTGTGACCATACTCATAAGCAAAATAAATCAAACTCACATGTATAAATACCGTACAGTCTCTAGTGTAAGAAACGGTAAGAATACATAAATTATGTGGTTATCATGATTCCCCATCATATTGCTTTGAAGCCTTATAATGTTTTTATTCATTAGTTGGAATGGTTTTATTCTGGGTTGTTTGATTTTATTGTCTATGATGATATTAACAGGTATTTTGAAGAAAAGAGGACATTGTAATAGCCAGTGCTGATTTAATATCATCTTGCTTTGAAATCCTATGATGGCTTGTTTCTTCCATCTCCATCAGTTCTATCATGTTATATCTTATTGAATTTTATTATGTGTGATAGTATAAATAAAACTTTTTATCGACAAGGAGATAATATATTATCCATTGTTCATTTTCTGTGAGTTGGTTTTGAATGTCCTGTAATACTTTCATTCTCTTGCTTCATTTTATACTATTTTGTTATGTTTGATACTATAGTATATGAAGATATACTCAACTATTTCATGGAAAGTGACACTATGGTAGCTACTGTTATGTCAGGTTGTCTTGTGGTGAAACACTAGATTGTTTAAATTGTTCTATTCTGATCTGTTTTGTTATGTCCTCTTTTATCTTTTTAAAACAAAAAAATTTTCAGTCTATGAGTTTCTTTTTGAGTTGAATGTGTTTCTTGTATGCAGCATATTGTTGGATCTTATTTCTTGATCCATTCTACTAGTCTGTTTATTTTGATTCGTGAGTGGAGATCATTTACATTGATGGTTATAGCTACTATGTATTGACTTATCCTTTTCATGTTATTTTCCTGTTGTTGGTTACCTTTCTTTGTCATCTGTTTTATTTTTTGCCTTGCCTGGTGGAGTTCATTCTATTGAAATTAATGGAATTGTTGTCTTTTTCTAGAATATCCTCCAGAACTTTTTGTAATGCTGATTTTATGGATTTCTTCAGGTATACTCTTTAATGTGGAAATATCTTAGTTCTCCATTGAAAGAATTTTTTTTTTGATACAGGGCCTTGCTATGTAATTCAGGGTGTTCTTGAACTCATTATGTAGCCCAGGCTGGCCTTAAATTTAAATTTATGGTGATCTTCTTGCTTCAGCCTCTTGAGTGCTGGGATTACATTGCTGTGAGGCAAAGGAAGATTATGTATGCTTTGGGAAATTGGTGAAGCAAGCCTGCATCACCATCAATTTTGAAGGACAATTTGGGGGATTATATTATTCTGCATTGGAAGTTTTAGTGGTTGAAGCACTTTACTCCAAACTCTCTTTGACTTGAAGTTTGATGTTGAGCAGTCTGCTGTGATTCTGATGAGTTTTCTTTTATTATGTGATTCTTTTCCTCTAATAGATTTTAATATTCAGTTCTTGCTTTGAATTTTTGGACTCTTGACTATTATATGCCTTAGTATAGTTTTTTCTGACCATGGCTAATTGGAGTTTTATATGCCTTAATTATCTGGATGCTGAATTCTTCTTCCTTGGGAAGTTTTCTGGTATTAGTTATGTAACAGTTTTTAAAATATCATTTGTATTATTTTATGAATTTTCATTGATTCTGATTAACCTTATATTATTCTTCTTTGCATCATTAGCAGCTGTTGGGTTGATATTTCATGATCCCTTGCTATTTTTAGGAAGTCTTTTCCTGATGGTCACTAACTGCAACCTATCTCCTGGATCTGATATTCAAGCTGGTTGATTCTTCTGTGTATTCTTTCAATGGGATTCGTTAATCTTCTGGATGTCTGTTTTATGAATTCTATTTCTTTTATATATTGGGCATTCATGGTTTTTGTTATCCTAAACTTTTTTATTTATCTGTACCTGTTCTAGATTCACTAATCATGCCTTTCATCATGACTACCATCTTTTTAGTAATCTGTGTAATTATCTCTGATTTGTCTCTTTCTAGAGACTAATGCATGTACTTTAATTATTTATTTATTTTTTTGCTGCTATCATTTCAGAAAGTTTATCTGGGTGGCTGTTGATTCCTTCCACTTCAGTGCCCTCTGGGGTTTACCTTGGGCAAGTTGGAGGTCTAGGGTTGCATCTTAGTTCTGTTTCTTCTTTTTCCTTTTTATTTGTTTACTGCACTGATCCTTGTAAACTGTTTATGGTAGGTAGGTTTATTATTTGTATATAAACCTTCTTAGGAAATGACTACTTTTCAGAAATGTCTTCTAGGTGTACCTGGCTTTCTTGGCTTTTGAGGTTGTCCTAAGAAGAATCTTAGGACAGAGGCAGAAGCCTCTTCCATCTATTAGCGATAAGAGGCTGCTGCCTGTTTGGCCAAGCATCCAGTTCTTAGGTACGTACTATGGTATTGTTTATGGCCTCCAGACAATATTGGTACTGGTATACAAGGAAGAACAACTGATCACAACAGCTTTGTCACTTTTGTGAAAGTAGTACTGTCAGTATTAACAATAGCATCAAGCACAGTCTAGAAAACGACACACTGTGATAACTGTTAATTTGCCATCTTTAACCACAGGTTCAAGATTTATAGTTACATAACATAATCTAAAACAATTTGTAAAATTAGATATAATAAATATCTGGTCAATAGAGTCATTTTAACTTTACTAGAGAAAATTTAAAAAGGATTAGAGGAAAAATAGAGACATAAAAGAAGAGAAAGAGATTAGGAACAAGGCTGTGAGGCAAAGGAAGATTACGTATGCTTTGGGAAACTGGTGAAGCAGACAGGAGGGAAAGAAAGAAGGAAAAAATAAAACAAGAATAAGACAAAACAGGAAAAATGGAAAATAGTGTCTATATTCATGAAAAAAAACAAAAATAATCAAGAATAAGAAGAAGGAGAAGAAGAAAAAGGAGGAGAAGAAGGGGAAGAAGGAGGAGGAGGAAGAGGAGGAGGAGAAGGCGAAGAAGAAGAAAAGAAGAAGAAGAAAAGAAGAAGAAAAAGAAGAAGAAGAAGAAGAAGAAGAGAAGAAGAAAGAAGAAGAAGAAGCCCTAAAAACAAAGGCAAAAAACCATTTCTCTGTGATTTTGAGCTTGTTGTTGTCTTCTGGGATCTATAGTTCTGTGGTAGTGTTCAGTTCAGGGCGTGTCTGCTGTTTCTGATAGACAAGGGAGGCAGACTGAGCCCAGATTCATCCTGGCAGAACTGCAGTAGGGTTATGGTGAGGTGCTGCTTCTGGTGCTTTTTACTCCCCAGGAATTCAGGCTAATCCTAGCCTCCCTCTGGTTGTGAGGGTAGGGCCTGAGTTGTTCAGCCTACAACATTCTGCATGTCTCTTGCTGACTTGATCTCAGCTCCTTGATCCTGGACTACTCACTCAGTCATGGTGCAATTTCAACATTAGGAACCAGGGTTACTTGGGTCCTTCATTCAACTTGACTCTCCCTAAAATGGTGTCTAGCTAAGCACTCTCTCCTGGGGACATGGCAGTCACTCACCAGTTGCTGTAGTCCCCACCATCCACTGCTCTGTTCCTCTGGTGTGTTTCTCCCTGGAGGCCTGTGGAGTCACTCACTTTTACTGTATCTCTGTAGCATTGATCTTCCTCTCTCACACTGTGGCCTAGGAGCTGGGGAGAAAGTGCAGTTTGCCCCTCATTTTTCAAGGTGGAGATCTTTCTCTTTTCTTTTTCGGTTGCTCCTATTTTCCCTGCAGATCCTTTGTGGGTCCTGGGATCCACCTCCCTCCTTCTTTTCTTCCTCAAATTGCTATTTTCCAGTGTCTGGATTCCAAGTCTAAAAGAGATTGATTTGTTCCTATTTACTGCTTGGCCATCTTCCTGGAAGTCTCTCCAAGATAGACAATTTATTATTTTTAATTTAAAACATTTTTTGTTGCTTTTTTGAGGCAGAATTTTGCTCTGTAATTCATGCTGGCCTTGAACTCACTATATTTACCCAGTTCACGATGTAGCCCAGGTTTACCTCAGATTCATTACAATCCTCCTGCCTGACTCCCAAGTGCAGGAATTACAGGTGTATGTTGTGAAGCCTGGCCAATTTAAAGAAGGGAGAAGATGAGCATTAAAAAATCTAAAATGGGTATTTCGGCCTATTTATAAGCCATGTTGTTATTAAAATTAATTCTCAGCAGCTCTGAGTGTGCTAGGAAGTAGGTATCTTCATTTATAGCCGGTGGAGGGAAAAATTTGAACAGCTTTTCTGGAACGCTGTAGCAGGTCTTAGGGACAGAAACTAAACTTAAACTAAGTAAAAAGGAGATTATTGTTGTCAGGATTTGAAGGGAATAGATTTAATACAGGGCACATAATTTATAGGATTGTTTTATAGTATTCACCCAAAAAGTCAAATGCAGAAGAATGTAAGAGATCTGTCCTCATACTAGAGACACAAAGAATCCAGCTGAGAGCCTGGATTCCTGCACAAGTCCAGCTGAAGATCAAGAATGCATGGCAGTGTCCTCTGCAAGTCTGCCTGCAGGCCTAGAACCTAAGACAGTGTTCCATGGGACTATATTAAGGATCTACACCAATAAGGCCCAAAGGTCAGTGATGGAAGCTAGAAAATCTGCGACAGTAGGATGAAGGATCTGTGCTAACAGGCTGAGGGAATGGCACTAGGGCCAGGAAGATGCTCAAGGTAAGGACCAGAGCTCCCCCGAAGGAGAACTGCAGCCATACTCAGTGACATCGAGCTCCTGAGCTCCTCCAATGATGCCAACAGCTTAGTTCAAATCAAGAAAACCAGCGTGACAAGTTTCTCCAGAAGAATAAACAGCACAGCATCTTCCCCTCCAGTTTTCCTGTTATGCTGTTGGCAGTAATCCTCAAGTGGGCCTTCCACACTCAGAACCCTGCTGATTCAGTTCTGCAGGGTGTTAAAAGTTGGCCATTAGTTAATCTACCAGACAGAGATTCTTTCTTTCTTTCTTTCTTTCTTTCTTTCTTTCTTGGCTGTTTTAACTGAGAAATTCAAAAATTGCTGTGATTTATGCAAAATTACAGCTAGTAGTTCAAATGATTGTTTCTCTGTCTTTCTCCCTGGCCTCTGGGTGACTTGGTTCTCAGGTAGGCTGTATACATGCAAAGACAGCTGCTAGTGAGCCCAGGTTCACATCATCTTCCCCTCTGGCTGTCCCAGAGAAAGATGGAGGAGAAAGTGATATTTTTGCAACTGGCTTTATTGACTTGTAATTTGTATACCATCCAGTTCACTCACTTAAAGCAAACTATTAAGTGATTTTAGGATATTCACAGTTGTGCAACCATCACTACAATCAATTTTACAACATTTCTATCACTCAAAAAAGAAGAAATCATATCAATTAGCAATACCCCTTGTTTTCCTCCAACCCTTCAGCCTTTGACAAATTTCTATTGCTATGCTTATGTATGCCAGTGAACACCTTTTATGGTGTCAAAAGCAGAAGTTCCAGGAGGCTCTAATCGGCTTGGCTTGGATAACCTGCTCATTTTTGACTCAATTACCAGATTAATCTCTGACTCAATTACTGGGTCAAGGAAATGGGTACTTGCACCAGCCAGGCTGACCTCACCATTCCAGCTCTGAGGTCACAAGCTGGAGCTGGTCCTTCTTGGCTAATTTCTCTGGGCAGAATGACTATGGAATGGGATGGGACTCCCCAAAGGTAGGGGAGCCCAGAAGACAAATGTGTCCACTCCAAAGACAACTTGGCAGTATGTGCCCAAGTCTTTACAAGATGCATTTTTGAGGCTTTATCTTAAGAAGACTAGGAATAAACTTTCATTTATGTTGCACTATGGGGTTGGGCTGGGAAGCAGGATGAAGGCAGAGAACTGAGCTCTCTGCTGGGGGAGAAGGGAGGTGGGGTGGAGGTGAAGACAGATCACCTGCTGCAGCATGGAAAGCAGTGCTCCCACAATCTTTGGACACAGCTTCCCTGGGACACTGGTGTGATAGACAGCAGCACCTCTGCCCCAGGGACTGAGGCTGAAGTAAGGGACTCCCACCTGGAAGAAGCAGGCTTTCTGTCAGGATTCAGGGCAGTGCTGGGTTGAAATCTTGTCCTTTTCAGGGAGGCATCATTAGAGTCTTGGCAAGTCCAACCACAGGTGAGAGGGCTTGGGCCAGGTGTGACAGTGCTGTTCATTGTGAGCTGAGTATCCTGGCTGTGTCCTTGTCTGTGCATGTTCTCTCTTGCCTTTTAAACCTGGCAGACCTGATGGGAGAGGACATTTGAGTTCTCTGCAGTCAGAGCCACCAAACTGTGGCACAGCTGCCAGGAAGAATGTTATGTGGCCTGCAGACTGTCTTTTAATTCCATACGTTTGTTACTGCATATCCACAGCAGGTGAGTTCCAGGACCTGGTTTAGATAACAAAGTCCACAGATGCTCAAGTCCTGTCTATAAAATTATGTAGTGTTTGCCTGTTACTGACTTTCTGGTATACTGTTATCTCTAGATTACTTAGAATACCTAATAAAATGTGCATATGTAAATAGATTTTGTACTCTACTGTTTAGGGAGTAATGAGAGGAAAATGTCTGTACATGTAATAGGCCAACATGATTTTTTTGCCCTGTGTACTTCCAATCTGAGTTTGATTGAATCTACAGATGTGGAAACTCTGAACATAGAGGATAAATTATATACTTGTTCTTTTAAAGATAAGTAGAAGGTGAATACTTTTGTTGTTCAGGCGGTGCCTGGTGTGTGTATGTTGTGTGTGTGTGTGTGTGTGTGTGTGTGTGTGTGTGTGAGAGAGAGAGAGAGAGAGAGAGAGAGAATTTCTTTTTTAAAATTTTATTTGATTTAAAATTTGAAAATTTTAATTTATTGATTAGTACATGTTTGCAATTCATCATGACGATTTTCATTGTTGGGGACATATACATGATACATCTTAATTCTTTTCTTACAACCTTTTCTCCTTCCCTGTTCCCTTATCCTTTGGTCTCTTGTTCCCCTTCTTATTTGCAGTAGAACTATTTCCCTGTTTCTTATTATCTATCTTTTAATTTGTTGTTTATTTTACATACTTTGGATTTCTCCTGTGAGAGAAACCATATGATATTTAAGCTTGTATGTCTGATTTATTTCACTTAGAGACTATTTCTAAGTAAAACTAAACTAAATTTATAAATTTAAAGCCCAGTTTGGGGTTCAGTATTAAAGAAGTGGATACAAAGCTCCCAAATAAACAAATAAATGTGCCAGGCCATGTGTATGTGTTTGGGGTTTGGGCTGTCAGTCTGAATTGGGTTGGTAATTGTTAGAGATTTTAGAGGTACAGTGTAAAAACTGAGGGTGACTTCCATCCTAAGGATATATGCTGAGATTGGAGAGGGGGAAAGTTGTGATAACCAAGTTGACTCCTGTGCTTGCCTCCCAGGATGAGTGTTAGGAGTTCACTCCTGCTGTGTGTGATCTCTGCAACACTCCTGGCTGTGGAAGTCCAGGCTGAGGCTGAGGACAACAGCATTTTGAAGACCTAGGATTAACCCTGGTTGAGCCACATAAATTGACTTTTTTTTTTGGGTACTGGGAATCAAATTCACGACTTTCCAGCTCTGTGCCCCAGCCCCATAAATTGACTTTTTAAAATGCAGGAACCAGTATAATTTTTCTTCATTGATTCTAGACAACATAGAATGACTCATCCATACCATTTAGAAGGCAAATGGAGGCTGGAATAATAAAAACCAGGGACTGTGAGAGTGGTGTGTTGAAGAAAGAGCAGGAATTGGGTTGGTAAAAAGATTGGCATGTGTGGGGGTGGTCAACACGCTCCGCTGAGTCACATGAGAAGGACCTTCCCATATCTTGTGATATCATATCGACAGGAAATTGACATTTGGCCTGCTTGAAGGTCTCAGCTCTGGAGTAGAAAAAGATGGGAAGCAGTCCTATTTTTGCGCAGCCATGTGGCAGAGTGTTAGTTCAAGCAGTTTCATGGGGCCATGAGCATCGCCTCCAGGTTCCTGCTCTGGAGTCAAGCACTTCCTGTGTCGTGTGAAGATGAACAGCATTGGAATTTACAGCTCTGGAGTTCGTGTTTCAGCTTAGCTATTCACTGGCACTGTGAACTTGAGAAAATCCCCTAAACACTCAACCCATAAAATGGGAAGATAAAGGTGAAAGAAGAGATGAGGGTGCCGTGATGATGAGGACACAGGCAACTTTACCTGTCCCTGGCCTATTTAAGGTTGGGACGGGGAAGGTGAGGAGGAGAGGTGGGCAGCGGTCTAGGGTCTTTTCTAGTTGAAAATGAAGAGAGTCACACAAATCTCTTTTTTGAGTCATGTGATGGTTTCAAATGGTTTATTGCTACTCAGCACTCAGAGATTGCTGCGATTGGGGATTCCGGGGTACAGTGGGGAATGGCCTACCTCTTGCTTTTTGGTAAGTTAACATCAACATACAAAAGCCTGAAGGATTTCTTTCAGTTCCTTCTTGAAATTCGTGATGACAGAACGTGGACTATAAATTCTGCAGCGGGATGAGGATGAAACGTGAGGGGTTGAGGCCTTGGTTTGCCTAAAGCATCTTCGTGCTCCTAGAAAGAGGAGGACTTTCCCATCTGACCTATGAAACCTTGTCACGTGTATGTGCTTTGTCACTAGGAAGCTGGGTCCTGATGCTACTAGAGCTGGTTGTGACTCCTTGGTCACTGTGTGGCTTTGATGAAAGAATTCAGTTACGAGATAATAGGTAGCCATGCAGAAGTATATGCAGAGTTTATTGTAGAGCAGGCCTCTCTGCTCCTGTGGGAGTTTGGATATCTTTGTGTGCACACAAATGCACAGAACTAGGATGATTATCATTGTTGTATAAAGATGATGCATGCGCTTATCAACATTTTTCTTAGAAATTACTTTGGAATATCATGGTCTCAGAAGCATCTTCCTTGTTCTTTTCAAATGGTCAGTGGTCCCTCAGAAGCCATTATCACACACAAAATCTATGAAAGAAATTTATGAAAGAGAAAGCTCTAATTTAAATCAAGTCTCAGTTCAAGATAGGGAGAGCCTTTAAAGAATGCCTCTGCTGTTCCTGATCTTGTGCTATAGCAGCCAGGAACTCTGCGTACCTTGTTCTGGAAACAGGTGGCCAGGTGGCCAGGTGCCAGTATGAACATGCTCATTGTATAACCTTGAAATGTCTTTGTGCTCTATGGAACCATTTTAGGTTTGAGACCTAACAAATGATTATAAATGTATTACACACTCCGGTCTTTGTTCTTCACTTAACTGTAACTGGCACAGCGTGCTGTTTTGGACCCCCTTTCCCCCTTACAGCTGCTAGCATCTAACCCCCTGCTGAACACATGTCCTCCCCTCTCTCGTGCCTCAACCATCCTCAGTCCTTCATTATAGACCATCAGTCCCAACGAATCTCTCCCAGCCTTTCTATTGCAGGGTAGCAGAGGGCACAAGTTCCTAGACTTGGGGACAAAAGGGGAAAAGAAAGATGGTGGTGGTCATGACTTCAGGGGACAGGTTCCTTTTTCTGCTTTTATTTTGTATTGTCTCCAGATACAAAAAAAATAAAACAAAAAACACAAAACAAAACAGATTTCTCACCATAGAAATTTATTTTCTCATTGGATCTTCTTGAAGAATCTTATCAACTTCAAGCATAGATCTTAGTCCTTATGCAAAAAAGTAGCTATTTTCTTGCTGACTTTGAGTTACTTTTTCTCTCTTGCCACAGGAATCTTGAACCATTCCCTGGTTTCTCCCTGTCCTTTCTAATTTGCCTTTGATAAGGAGTGGAGCCTCCCTGAGCCAGTGGTAATAATGTCTAGTAATGTCCATGCTGCTACTGAAGCCACAAAGATGCTAGCTTTTCTCTAGGGGATTCTGAATGTGCCCAGGGTGGTCTCTTGAACCAATAGAGCAGATCTGCTAAAGACTGAGTAGAAAAAGATTAAGGATTCTTTGGGGACAGAATTTTTCAGGAAAGCAGAAGGAGCCAGGCACAATATAGTTAGCCTAACAGCCAATCTCAGATATAAAAAGGGTGTGGTCGTTTGTGCCTGTGGTTCTAGTTCCCTTCCTTAGACAGGGCTCCTTGGATATCTTGCATACATGGGACCCCAATCTCTTCTATTTCTCCACCCTTTAACATTTTTCTTTATGGTGTTTATTACATCTAAAATGATTTCACTCATTGTTTGGTTTGCTTACTTGATTATCTTTTTCTCATAAGCCAGAAAGGAAGATCCATTATATCAGGGACTTCTTTATTTCTGCGGTAGCCTGCATGAGGAGGCTGAGGAGAGGGCCTATCCTTTCACTGAGTAGGTGAACAGTAGGAGGAATAGCATTGCACTGTTTCAGGCTTTTCTTCAACTCAGTCTCATGGTCTCAGGTATGTCTCCTAGGATGAGAGAAGTTTATAGAGAAGAGCTAAAACACTGAAATTCATAAAACATCAAAACTTCATACAACTCACAGAACATCTCTCAGATCTTGGCTAATTCAAAAGCAGGACTGTAGTCCATGGCCCTTTTCTCTCTAGTTCATTGGAACCTCACAGTCACCCAGCTCAGGCTAGCATATGAGCCACCCGCTGTGGTTCTCCCTGTGGCAGCCTAAAGCTGCAAGGCTTACAGTTCCCTCTGAGGGAGCTTCCAGGAATATAGTATCTGGGGAGGGGGGGCTCAGAATCCTGTGGCCAGAAGGTACGTAGGTCATGTTTGGAGGTTCATGCCTCTTCTTCCCAATCCAGACTGTGACCATAAGTCAAGTTGTGTGATGGGGGGAATCCAATGTTGTCCTTGGGGGCAACTAATAGGGCAAAAGAAGTATGCAGGCATCCATGTGACTATGTAAGGAAGTGAGGGCAGGAAAGATGTTAGATGTTGGTGCCAGGTGAGTGATGATTTGAACATTAAGTCTTCCACTTGATAGCTTTGGAATGTGCTCAAGTTATTTAAGTCTCACTTTTATTGCTCACACCTGGCCAATTATACATGTGGTAAATTTCAGACAATCTCATGGAGCCATGGTTTTGTCCCTGGTCTTACTCTCCAGCTGCTACAAAGAATGGCTGCTAGTTAATGACTCTGGTTAACACCATACAGAACAGTGGCTCTTGTCAGCTGTGCAAATGAAGATCCTAGTCTTCTAAGG